TGATTTTTTTTGTGAAATCTATGTCTTTTAGTCTCAAAACTACAAGTTGTGGTCTACCTCCTCTACATTTCCATTATGTCTTGATGAAATCTTTGCACCTGTTCTTCACTGACAGCATCAAGATTTTCAGGTAAATAGTCAATATGCAAGTGTAAGAATTGAACTTTCAAGTTCATATTACAACCCAACTCAAATTTATCGAGCATCTTATTGACAATATTTTTGAATTTGGCTCCTTGTTGTTTCCTAAAAATTTGTCACTAACACCTTTAATGGCAATCCATGCTTCTTTTTTAACTTTCCTTATTATCCTTTCGAACTGTTCATCCGAAGTCAATTTCCTAATCTGAAGCCCAACAAAAATCCCTTCAAGTTTCCTTTCTGAAAGAGCTGGGAATTGCCCACATAGATACTCATACCAGTCATCATCTTTGTCTAAGACTTTTACAAACTGCTTCATCAAGCCCAGTTTTATGTGAAGTGGAGGTAATAGGACTTTCTTTCTTCGTGTCAACGAAACTTTCATGTTCAATGTTTTTCGATCCTGGTATCAGGCTGACTCTTCGTAGTCATTGCTTCTTTTTATCCAGGGTTGATTTTGTGCTCTGCTGTCCTATTACCACAAAAAAACATGGAAACTTTGTATAACCGGATTGCTGACCCAACAACATACAAAGAACTTTTAAGTATCCACAAAGTAGCCAACCATGTTCTTTGTATTTGACCTTTTTAAGAAGTTCAAGATTTTTGTAAGTTTCTTTCAAATGAACCAAATAAGCAATAGGAAAAAATATATGTTACCATCATGAAGGAGAACACCTTTTAGACTTCTTTTGGAGGAATCAATGAACAATCACCATTCATTTGGTTCATAGAATGCAGCTCCTAGCATTGGTATTAATTCAGCAATATTGTTGCAATAAACCAGTGAACCTTCTTGTGAAAAGTATGGTATAAACTCTTTTTCACAATTTCTGTACCAGTAAAATGATGTCCCTGGAGAAAGTAAGTTTTTACCCCTAAGTCTGGACCCCCAAATCTCTCACCAAATTTTTTGTTTCATAAATGTATTTTATTTCAAGTTTATGTTTATGTTTCATTGCAGCCATACTTTGTTTATTGTGCCAAATAAAATGTGAGGTTAGCAGCATGAATTTTGTGCATTTGCTGTAAACTATCATTCCTGTTGGTGGTCGCTCTCGTTCAGTCTAGCGCAGGCGCATTTCAACATTACTGTAGATAT